AATATATTTGAGCTATACTTGTGCTCCGGGAATCCATGTTTTCATTGTTATACATTAAGGGGCGCTATTACACATCTTCTGAATGAGTACAAAACCTCCCGAACAAAATCACACATGAACAGGACAGAGAAACGAGCGATCTCTTATGTAAACATAGAATGTAAACAAGGGAGACGTGCTGAAATGGCGTTTGGTCTCGTACTGTATCGCGTACCTTGTCAGTGTCGTGCGCTTTGCTTGGCCGTTTGTTGGGATAAACAGGAAAGTGTGTTCAAGCGCGAGTAAAACAGTGTAAAGAAATAGGCTTTGTGAGAAGCAGTCAATCAGCAGAAGTTAAAAGCAGCTTGTAAGTGTATTTATTTCTTGTCTCAGTGTTTAGCGCAGTTGTCGTTGCTAGGAAACACTTGTTTTGTTTACTGTGTGGAGACGTGCTGAAATCGCGTTTGGTCTCGTACTGTATCGCGTACCTTGTCAGTGTCGTTATTTCAGATAGTTGCTAGGGCAAGATGTCTAATTTTCATAATTTTTCATCTAATTATATTTCATCAAACAAAAAAAATTTTTTAATAGTTAAACGTTGGTTTTAGGTATTGATGACAACATTGAAAACTGAAAATAAGATTAGGTTTCCTAGTTATAGAGAGTGAACAATAAACATTGTTTATTTATATTGGTTATTGTTACCAGTGTTATTTTAGTGTTTTTAAATATAGAATTAATTCTATTTTTATTGATCTGAATTATCGTTGCAATTTTATTAGGTTTTGTTTAAAAAAAATAGATTTCTAAATTGTTTTATTTATTTTTATATCAGTTTAATTTGAATTCATTTAGTAATTTTAGTACTTCAACTTCATTTAGTTGCCAGAGCAATATTTCTAATATTTGTTTAGTTTATGTATTTAATCCAATGTTTATATTTTATTTTATCTTTATTTTTGCTAACAAAAATGTTTTTTAATAGTTTTGGTTTATGTTTTAGTTAACAGATTTGTTACTAAAATGGCGAATAATTTGGCATTTTGAAATGATCAACATCCAGTAACTGCCTACAGAAGTCTCATCTTCAGTGCTGAACTTCAGAACTTTCATTTAAATAATTAAATAAAACTAATATAT